CATCGATCCCAGTTCTTAATCCACTCGAAATACACTGGGAGATGGATTCCGGGCAACGCATTCTGAGTTCTCATACAATTAGAGTCGTTATAAAAGGATACCACTGCAGCTGCAACACCCGGGGCAAGAAACAAGTCAGCCATTCGGACTTTACGTCTGAGGGCAAAATAAAAACACCAGCTGTAATGAGACCTGAACTGCAAGAAAGTGAACCACGGATTTGGTACACAAATGCTTGCAGTATTCAAGGGAAATGTGGGGATTTGGGAACCACAGCAACAGGGTGTGCAGTAGCTGCCATGACCAAAATCTGTTGGAGTCCTCATAATGTAGCTATACTGATCGAGAGCTACATAATCTACAGACAGGACAGGACGGATGGAAGATTAAGGTTTGTGGCTACCAGTCTCGTACATGAAAATCATGGAAGTTGGGAGGCTCCGTTTAAGGTTGGCTCTAACAACATCCAGTTCACGTCCTGTTTTGTAAACTTTAATAAAAAGATAGTGCATATTTTATGCATCTATAAAGCTCCCTTTGCCAGTGGACAGAAGAATAACGATCTATTGAGAGTGCCGCAAACAGTGCTTGATAGATCTAGGGAGTTTGTTATTCCGGGTGACTTTAACTCTCCAGCTGGGAGGCTGGAAGCGCTCCCAGAGGATCCACGGATGAAGCATTCCTACAATGGGTGCAATTGCACGGGCTGGTCTAACACGGTATGATGCCAACAAGGCACCGAGGGGGTCATTTGCTCTCACTACTAGATCTGTTGATGACAAAGTGCCACAAGAATATTAGTGAATTGAGGACTGAGTTAAGTCTGGGCAAAAGTGATCATGTAATGATAAAGGCTTCACTTTCCATACACAAGGTGCTGTCCCTAGCAGTCCCCATTAGGTGTTTTGGCAGGCTAAGGATATAAAATAAAAAGGGCTNGCTGTAGCAACTAGATCTTGGATACTGAACCATCCCAATCCTACCCTAGAAGAAACATAGGAAGTAGCCAAAAACGGACTGCTAGGGCTAACAGCGAAGTTCTTACCTCTTAGGCCATCGAGAGAACAACGACAGCCTCCGTGGTGGCGACCAAGAGCAAAGAGGGCATTAGACAACCGGAGGAAATGATAGGCAGCGTACGTCACGTACCGCACCAGCCAGGCAGATGATAGCTATAAACAGGTCCGTAATAGAGCCCAAGCTGTTCAAAGACAAGAGATTTTCTGTTCCGAGAGTAGGTTAGCCAGGTCGGCAAAGATGAATCCAAAAGGATCCCATGCCTATGTACAATATAAAACAAAAACGAGGGAAAATGTGGCTGCACTAGAAGGTCTGGATGGCCAACTGGTGCTGACAGATCCGGATAAAGAAAGGACACTCCTGAAAGCGCAGAAAGGGGACCCAGGATGACCCGGACTGGCAGAGAAACTGCATTTTTCCGGGCATATGTGAGCTGTGGGTGAACGAAGATAGAACGAGGAGCTACACACTCCATGTAAGTACAAGGTTGCTGGGTCAGATGGAATCCATCCGGCCGTAGTTCAACCACTGGCCGAAGTCCTAGCTCAACCGGTGATGTTGCTTCACGCGGCCTCACTCAGTGGGAGAAACCTTCCTGGAGAATGGAAGAGGGCAAGCGTGATTAGTATATATAAGGGTGGCCACAGGCAAAAGCCCTTAAACTATAGTCCAGTTAATCTAACATGTGTTCTATGCAAATGCCTAGAACGCATCGTTAGGCGACAATTATGTGAGCATCTTGCCGTACACAGCATAACAAACGCGCAGCATGGATTTGTGACTGGCACGTCCTGACTGACAAATTTGCTACTGTTCATAGACGATGTGATCAGGAGACTCGACGAAGGTCTCACTCTGGAAGTCTGTTACATGGACTTCAGTAAGGCGTTCGACTCGGTCAGTCATAGATACCTGGACCACAAGATGCGAACCATAGGCATTAGAGGGAGGGCCAGGACCTGGGTCAATAACTGCTTCAGGGGGAGTAAGATTTGGCGCATACACTATAAACCCGCCAGATGTGATCAATGGTGAAACCCCGGGGCCCATTAAGCTTCCTCATTTTCATCAACAATCTACCGCCGGGATTGCAGAACCCGTGCCACCTCGCGCGTTACTTTTGAATCTGCATTGATGGCGTCGCGTTCCGGATTGCGTGTCCCCAGAACCGATGGTTCGAATTTTCGGCATCTTGAAAGGGTAGCGCCCCATTATAACCATGGACCGCTGCTCCAACGACGTTTTGTGTTCATGCTTCATCTCTACCTAGGGGTCCTTATGTTTGTCCATGTACTCCCAGAGTTATGCTTGCGATTCGGCCTCAAAACAAGACTTCTTGTCGAGAAGTGGCCATTTCTTCAATCAAATTTCTGGGAGTGCGTCTGGTGTTTCGGTAGCCTTCTACCCACCGTGTTCGGTTATTTATCCTTGAACCGAAATCGCACTGGACTGATGCGCATCTCGATCACTGGGACCATCGTGTTCGGTTTGGGTTCGGTCATTATCGGCGGATTTTAGCACGCCTACGAACTGATGCAATATTATCAGCCACGAGAACCACGCCATCGGCTCTATGTCTTCACGTTGATCGTACTCCTGTATATTTTTTCTCCTTATGCATTCATATTCACGGGTTAAGCGTTTAATTTGGCTACAAACTATTCTGCCTCTGATCCACTCAAACCCGAAAAGTGCGGTAAACACGGTCGCACTGCACGCCGAGTCTGATCTGCTCATTTTCCGTCGCAGTGCTTTTTATCGCTTTTCTTATTTCTCTCTCTACATGTAACTCCGTTCTACCCTTTTTGTCCATCAACCCGGTTGTCCGTGGTCACCCTCTTTTCTGTTCCCCGTGTGTCGTACACGCAAACGAACGGTTGTACATTCGTGTATCAAATATTGGGACCCAGCATCTATCTAGCCTTGAAAAAATTCAAGGATCCGGGAACATTGGGCGCCAGCCTCAAACCCGAGAGTCACTTCAAGATTATCTGTTTGCTGAGGATGTGAAGGTGGCTGGCACAGACCTGAATGAAGATATGAGGCAATACTATCCTTGCTCCATAAGTGGGACTTGCCATGAAACCTAGCCTATTGTCAACGCCTAAGAACAAGAAGTTCCAAAATCCCTGACCAAATGGAGCAGCTGATGGAGATAAAGCATGCCAAGGACCTAGGAATTGTGGTCGCTAGTGGCTTCAAGCCCTCCAGGCAGTGCATAGCATCAGCCAATAGTGCTAGGGGGCACTCTTTAGGATGAGGGCTATAATGTCTTGCAGAGACTCGCAGGTTCTGGTCCCGCTGTATAAGGCTATCGTCCGGCTACATCTGGAGTATGGTGTCCAGACATGGGCACCATAATAACAGAAGAACCTAGATTGCCTGGAAAGAGTTCAACGGCTAGCCACCCAAATGCTATCTGGTCAGAACCATAAGAATTATGAAAATAGACTGAAGGGCTTAAACCTATTTTCCCTTCGATGGAGACTCATGGGGGATGGCTTATTAGAAACGTTCAAAATAATGAACGATTTGTCGGGCGTCAAAAGTGAGGAACTATTCTCTGCGATCCCGGCAAGTAGCACTAGGGGGCATAGCTTCAGACTCCAGCATGATCACAGTAGACTGCAACTCTGGGCAAGGTTCTTCACCAGCAAGGTGATCCCACTAAGGAATAGGCTGCCAGAACAAGTGGTATTATCTCATCATATTCATCATAATCGTACAGCGAGATACAGTGAAGCGAGCGTCACTGATCGCTGCCAAGCTCACAATGTACACAAATCAAGCGATAAACACAAGATGGAGAGGAATTGTGTCTACTTGAAGGGAGGCAAAGAAAAAGAACCTCTATGTTCAACACACAGATTACACAATCTGAGTGTTCATACGTACCTTTTCAATCATTCTGACATGTTAAGAAATGATAACAAGAACGCCACTACTGTCGGTTAGTCGTCGTATCGTTTACTGTCTCCATCCAGCTAGTTGCAGAGTCTTTCGGACCCCAACCTGGAAGACGGGAAACACCGATTCTACCCAATCCCTCTGTGCATTTCTTCATGCCTCGCTTCCACGTCATCTGTTGACCACCACGCGATTTCTTACAACTCGGAGCCGTAACCGAGAATAAGGCGAGGTACGGCAGACGATGGCTGGACATGCGCAATACGTGTCCTAACCAGCGAAGCCGACTGATCCGAATTCGATGGGACAACGAATTCTCCATCGAATGACCACCGAATACGGGACGCCTCACCTCAGAGTTGCTTACAAGCTCGCTCCATCCAACCCGAGCTACACTACGTAAACATCTGCAGTCGAATAATTCAAGACGACGACTAGCTTCTACGCGCAAATTTAGGGTCTCGCAACCATAGAGCAGAACTGGCCGCGCACTGGTGCAGTATACACGACCTTTCAGTTTCAACGAAACGTCGCGTCTACACCGAAGGTGTTTCAATCCTGCGTAAGNCTGCGTAAGCTACTCGAGCCTTGGAAATGCGGGCGGTTACTTCATTGACTATGCTACCGTCACTTGAAACGCAGCTACCTAAGTATGTGAAACATTCCACTACAGTTAATTCTTGACCATCAAGCATAAGCACTGGGGTAGACAACACCGAGTATTGTAGCATCACTTCGTACTTTGAAGGTGCGAAGCG